TAATTCTGTATACATCAATTTTCTAAAAAATTATAAAAAAATAAATCATTATAAAACATACAGAATTTTGATATAGAGTCATTAATTACATATACAAACCTTATAAAAAACATATCATTTCCTTATTTCGATTTCTTATAGAATAACTGTCTCTAACTATCTGTCTCTATAGCAATTTTCTATCCTATTTATATAAAATATTTGATCTACTTCTATTACTATTTTAAGATAAAGTAAAACTATTAAACTAAAAAAAAACATTATAAACCTAATTAACTTAGTTAACTATATTAACTAGTTTAACTAAATAAACATAAGAAATTAATTAAACTTAAACAACTATATTAACTTAGTTAACAACATTATCATCATTTCTGAGGTTTTGGTCATTTTGATCGTTAGGCTGTGGTTTAAGAAATTATGGCTTTCTTTAGTAATGATGTGTAAAATTATAATAATAATCACTCTTTTCGAATTATTTTCGCTTCTATTGATCTAATAACTTTGTGTTTATATTCATTGAAAAGCTCTCAATGAAACAATTCTAATAATTATATTTCTATCAAAATGTAATTATTAGATCGAAAATTATTTCATTTTACAATACTTTAAATGTATAAATATCAAATTAAGCTTGAATATTACATTGTGATAATTCCAAGATTTATTACATCATTTTTGTCCAATAGATTAATTTCCTTCATTATATTTATTGATTCACAAATAAGATTTATCATATTTTACAAATTTCTTATTTGATGATCATTATCAACTAATAGATACTAATAGTTCTTTGTTTATTTTTCTGTAAAAGAAAATTTTTTATGTTGTTTAAAATGATTTATTTTTTGAAATATAATATATATTGAAATTATTAAAAAATTTAAAATAATGTATAAATTTTACGTAAAATAAAAAAATAAAAATAAAAATAACAAAAATAATAATATACATTTAATTGAATTTTTAATGTAAGTAATATTGAAACTTTTTTATATAAGAAAAGAATGAGTGTAAAGAAAAAGCATCATAATATACTAATCTATTTCTAAATCAGGAAATCCAAAAAAAAATTTTCTTATACTTTGAATGTGCATATACCAAATTGAATTTAAATGATAATTCTAAAGTTTATTATATTTTCTTCTATTTTGGGGGCTTATCAATAGAAAAGGAGGAAATCTAGAATTTGAATCTAACTAAAATGTTGAGAAAATCATGATTTTATGATTTTGAAATTGTTGCGTCTCAATTATCAATTTGTTGATTACTTGCCAAAAATATCTTTATTATTATATCATTTTTATTTTTAATATAATCGACATGTTGCATTAAACAGTAATAAAACTTGTCAGTAGAAAAGGAGAAAATCTTTTTTATTGGTCAATATATTTTCTCCCTTTCTATTCATTCAATAATTAATATCTAATTAGAACGCATTGTATGAATAAATAATTTGCTAGAATTTGCCTCCCGCATCATAGCCTAACAAACATGAATTGTTGATAGACTATATGGGATCGGTGTATTAACACTAAAGACACATTCTATTATTCAACCAATATATATTATCAACTTCAAAGTTCATCTATTTTTTAAGGCAAAAAACTATGCTAGCTAATTTCAAGTTTCAAGAATTAGTCTAAATGTGAATATTTGATCTCGTTCAGAATAGAGACTAATTTGAAAAGAATATCACAAAGTCAAACATATACAGAAGAAGTTAGATTACAAATTAGTGCTTCAATTAACTATTCAAAATGTAAATGTGAGTACTTTCTTTGCTTTATTAATTTATAATTTACTTTTTTTTCTCCTGCTTTTTTTTATCTTCATATAATACTCAGATTCTATGAATACTAAAATAATGCATGTGTTACTGGATCTTGATGAGACCATTGATGAACGTATCCATATATTAGCAAATATTTATCATGATGGTATTATAGATTATGATTTTTAACTTAATTTAGATTTTTTTAATGTGATTATTTATTTATTTATCTTTTTGGGTATGAGCAAAGTGTCTGAAATTGATTAAGTTTGTTTTTGTTGATTATACAAATATGTCATTACTGTATAATAAAAAAAATTCTGCATTGATCTATTTATTTATCGTGTCAGATATGAAATTCATCCTGATTTAATTTTCTTTCATTTCATTCCAGACTTCTATTTCAAACAATGAATTTTAGTTTATATTTATTCCTCCCTTTTCTGTCTTAACTTTCTTGGAGTCTTAAAATAATCTGCAAAGTAATTAATAGTATTCAGAGGTGACACTTGTTGTCAACTAATATTTAATAATTTACCTGGTATGAAGAGTTCAGAATGGAAAAATTCACTTAAACAACAATTTGGTTCATTAGGACTTTCTGCTTTGGGTAAATCAACTTTAATAGGTGCTTTAGAATAACTTTTGTTACATTTAGATACAAATTATTTATGTAATGGATAATGGAATCAAATGAGAATTTTTCTTTTTAAATACTACCAAAGTTGTATCTATCACTTGAGATAAAATATTATTGTATATTTGTGCTTTATACTTTAATTTTATTAAAATTATTTCTTTTAAAGTTAATAATAAAAAAAAAAAAAATTGAACTATCGATATTTAATTATTAAAAATAATTAAACTAATTAATTTTTTTTTGGTTTCAGAATTCGAGGTTTATAACAAAATTCATCCTTTTACAAGGATCATGAATATGTTCTCGAATATGTTCATAAAGATACCATTGTTGTTCTGCACTTAATTCTTTTGCTATTATTTCATCAGGAAAACTTGAAGTAACTGAAACTTTATCATTTTTTTGATATTAACTGCTACTTTACTTCCAGTAATTTCAAGTTGTAATTCAATTATTCTAATTTTATCTACTGAAAATGAAAAATGATGTTGTTTTGTAATATCTTTTATATTATTATAAAAGTTATTTAGAAATTCTATCCATTTAAAAAAATGAACTTTTCTTTTTTCATTATTATTAAAAATAGTCTGTACTGTATTATAATCTTCATTTGTTGAGGTTTCTATTATTTTCACTAAATCTGCTAAATTATCTACTTCAGAGTTCCTAAGTTTGAGTTTCAAAAGTCCAAAAAAACCATTTAGGCTGAATTTTGTATGATCAGCTACCATAAAACAATAAGTAATTTTATCATATAATTCATTTTTAATGTGTTACATCAGGTATTTAATCATAATGTTATTTTTATTCTGTCTTATACAATTATCTGCATGAATGATAATTCTTTTTTCTCCTAAACCAAAATAAGTAAAATAATGATGAACTAAAGAAATGACAATATCAGCACCTTTTCCAATACATTCAGATTCTTTGATAAGGTAATTTTTCTTAATTATAAAAAAAAAAATTTAAAATTTGTTGATTTTATATAAATTTCAATTAATTTAAAATAAAATTACTTGAGTTGGAATTGCATCTTCACATATTTCAAAAATCGAAATTTTATATAAAGATTTGAAATATATAGAATCCTAAATTTACAAAATTTTAATTATTTTAATTATTGTTTATTATATTATATATATTTAAATACAATTTTATTTAAATAAATAATACCTCTTGTTGCGATGAAAATGGCAAATGAACACCTTCTGCAAAATCCCATGATATATGATTTTCAAAATCAAGTGAATTGGATTTTCCAGGATGAGATAAAGTTCTTAAGTTTTTTAATCCATTTTTTATATTTTCGATACATTTTCTTAAGTTGATATAACTTATTAATTAAAAAAATAATAATTTAATTATATTTTACTAAGTTTTAGAAATTATAATACATACTTATAAAAGGTTCTTTCACAATTAGCCTAATTAATGTGATAGTTCCATCCATTTACTTTTTTTTCAATCTCATGTTCCGCCAATATGTTGAATGAAAGCGCATATCTTTACAAAGATTACAAAGATCACTTCGTGGAGTAAGAAACTTAACCTTTGGTATATATTTCTTCCAAATTCGATGAAATGTTGAAAAGCTAATATAATATTCTGAATTTTCTTCAAAATTATCAGTATATGATCGATATAATGATGAGTAACTATCACTTACAGGAAGAAATGTAATGGCCATTGTATCTTCATGTAAATGACATCCTAAAATAAAAACAAGGTATTAATAATATTTTTTTTAAAATTAAATAAATAAATAAATATAAACTTACCAGGTGATGGTAGACCATTTATGTTTGCATAATTAGTTATAAATCTTAAAACAGTTAAAAGTGTTGAGAAGGAGATTGTTCAATTACTTAGCCGATTTGTTAATATATGAACCATTATTTTTAAACCAAATTTGTTATAATGTGAACAAATATTATCCCATTTCTTTGTTGAAATTCCATATACTAATAAAAAAGCTGTTCTACAAATTTTAGATCCTGCAAAATGATATAATGATGTATGATAATCTTTGCGTTCACCAGTTGTAGTTTCACCTGGTATTCAAATTAATGCCTCAATAGTTGCCAAAAGAAATATGTCTAATTGTGATTTTGTATAATTTCGAAGTTCCTAATATTTTGCTAATGCATTACTTTGATTAATCTTAATGCTTAAACATTTGGTTACGCAACATGTTATTGTATTAAATTTATAAAGATATGAATTATCATCTTGCTTTTCAAAAGCTTTTTTGATATGTTTTTCTTTTATTTCAGTTTCTTCTTCATTTTCAATTGGTTTCTTCATGTAAATCTTACGATATGTCTCAATTTTTGATAAAGATAATATATTGTTAATCTGCATATTCAAATCCTCAAAAAATTCACTTTTCTCTTCTAATTCCGTTTTTACTTCTGCTTCTATATTATTATCTTGTAATTCATAAACTTGAAACAGGTTATTAAACTCTAAGTTTAAAAAAATTAATTTTTTATGAGTTTCTTCAAATATATTTGATAAAAGAGAATGAATTTTTGAACTCATATTAAATGAAAACTAATAAAGAAAATGAAATTTGACACCTTACGAACATTTTGTACTTATAAATAACTGTTGGTAATACATAACAAGAAAAATCTTGTTTAGCAATTTTTACTTTTCATATTTATCAAATTATAATTATATTTGGTAAACTTGGATTTTTTACGCAACTAATCATTTATTTTTTATTTAATTAATAAAAATCCTAATAATAATAAATAAACCCGTTCCTAAAAAATTATTTAAAAAAAGAAAAGAGGAAGAAAAAATCAAATCTATTATATAAAATTTACCTAAAAAGTCGATAAAGAATATTATATACTATTAAAAAAAGTTAATATTTAAAAGAGAAAAGAAAAGATACAACTAATGATGGTACTGCAATTGTTTTTTCAAATCTGCAATATTGCAGATTTTTGAATTGAATTACGCATAGTAATCTGCAATTCCGCAATTCAAATCACGTGATTTGTGATGTAATTTGTGAG